GGCAAGCAGCCTGTGTTGAGGTTGGTACCAATGGTCTGCTCACCAATTTACTGTTCAACTTAATCGACCAGGACCTGCCTGCACATGGGTTGCTTGGTTTTGCCGATATTTTGCAACCTTATGTGTCTGCCTGAGCTCCTTACACATTAGGGAGGGGATTGGCATTGGCTGTGTGGGACACTGGGATGGAAAGGACCCAAACTAGATCTGCCTCAAGCTCCTGTGACAGCTCTTGTAGACAGAGATGGATTTTGAACTGAAGAAAGCCAAAGTGGTTTTGTTTAACCAACTGTTTTTCTCACTTTTATGTTACCTAGCCTATAATATCACATTTTTGTTTTGTTTCCCTCAGTGCAAATTCTAAAGTCTTTAACAGCCAACCGGGAAATTTTGTGGAGGGTGTTTGCAGGTTAAAAAAGCCCCAAATTCACTGTTTCTAACATCCTTCATCCACCATGCATTCAGTCCTAAGAAAAAATTAGTATTACAATTTTATAGTCTGCATCATTATCCTGGTTCCTTCTGACCTTAGCACTATTTTGGCTATTCAGCTGGGTTAAAAATTCCAGAAAGGCAACCATACACATCTCAGTTAGACGTGAGTGTTGTATGTAGCTGAGAGGGATGTTTGACAATGTATTGTGTATGAGATAGGTTGAAATGATGTATATTATTTTTATTGCTCACAGACTCTTGGCATTGTGAGATTATTATATAATACAAAAATTGGAGTTTGTCTCCATGCTTTGTAATGAACAAAACATCAAAGGGGAAAATCCCTTACACTGCCTATTACAAGATCCATTTGAGTGGGTGGTGCTTCTTTTTTTCTGAAGTCGTTTCCTTTGGTGCTTATTTAGCACCGTTTTGTTTAACTAGATAACTTCTTCAGTGCGTGTTTGGTATCACTTATTTAGCAGGATATCTGGTTTTTGAAGGGTCTTTTAAATCAGAAAGCATTGAGGTTGTCCAGTTTGGGGGGCTATGAAGTGGGGATGGGATGTACCATTCAGTTGGATTTCTTTCTGAGGCTGCTGGGATTTCAGCAAGGGATTGATATACAATTCAAGTTTGCTTGTGTCAAGTTAGTGAAGAACGGGGACTTCTCCCTTGGATTTTATTCCTTTTGAATTTTTAAGCACTTACACAGCCAAATGTAAGTGCATGTGAAGTGCAGCCCTGTTCTGCATGATACATGAAAAGCTGTTTGGGTGAGTGTATCACAGCTGAGTCAGCTGGGCCCCTGCTGGGCTCGGCTTTGTTGTTTTAAAAAGGGCTACATCCTAAAGTACCTCGTTCTGTTAAATATTAGTAAGCCAGTACAGTGTATTTTGATCACTAAAGTTGACTAAAGATGCATTATCTGCCTTGTGTGTTGTGTTTTGTAAATAGCTGGTTCCTGTGGGAACCACCTAAAAAGGTAGACAGTCCTTAGTAGCACAGAAATTCTTTAAGCAAAGCTCGATCATAGCAAATTCTAACATAAGTCTTCGAAGAAGGATAAAAGAGGAGGAAGAGATTCAGACAGCTTTTTCCTTTTGTAAACTCGCTGCTTTACAGGGGAAAAAATAGCTGGAAATAGCCTGTCTCGTCCCAAATGAAAGGTTGTGGATTAAGGCTTTGCATTAGTGAGACAGCTGCACGAATGTGAAACAGAAAGTCCTCCAGCTTCAGCCATTATGGGTTTGTTTGCTTAGGTCTAATTTTGGAAGTCATTATAGCAAAGGTAAATGACTTGCACAGGAGACTACTGTAAACAAAGGACTCGATACATTTACTTTGGCAGGAGCCTTGAGGAGTTTTGGGCCTTTCAGTGCCTCCTTTATGCAGCCTCCTGCCCTGCTCTCACTGCCCAGCTCTGTGCAGGCAGCTCTCACTTCCCTCCCTTCCCCTCCCACAGCTTCTTTCTCCCTGACAGGTTGGATTTAGGGGTGGCAGCACCTGCTCTGAATTGCTGGTGTGTAGCAGTACAATACCTTTGTGTTTATAGTATCTGTCCCTTGATTTCTAAAGCTGCTGTGTTTTGCTCAAGTAAGAATCTGTTCCCTCTCTCCCAGTCTAGTACTGGAATGCAGTTTCAAACACTTCCCTTTTAATTGTGGCTCCTCACTGATTACTTTTTGTGTGTTGTATTTTATGATTTATTAACTTTACACTTACTGATTCTAATACTGTTGCTTAGCTGAGTTTTCTAGTTTTTCAGTGAAGATTAAACCATGAGAATTATAATTCCCTTCCCAGCTCTCTACCCATGTGATTCAGTCTCCATTCCACATACTTTTTCCCACTTGTGTAAGTATGGAGGCAAATTCTGTGATGCAGAAAGAGTGGCCGTGCAGATCTTGCTCCTTTCCTTTTACAAAGCTCCTTGTGAACACATTGTGTGGGTATAGCAGAGCTTTCATTGATCTCTAAAGCTGGAAGAATGAAGTAGAGGGGCAGAGTCAGAATCCTCTCCTTGTGCACCCATTTTCTGGCACCCCTTTTCCACACTCGCTGGCTATTGGGTGTCTCAGGAACCTCCCCTTTGCAATCCCTGTCATGGGTGACTTCTGACTGCTGGGAAGTGCTTTCAGTCAAGGAATATTTGTTCAGGTGTTCTTTGACTCCTAAAACATGTGAGGCAGACTCTAGTATTAATTATTTTGTTCAAAATACAAGATGATTATGCTGCATCCTCAAAAAGCCCATCCCTGCACGTTCTCACACACTTCATTGCCATGTGGGACAACAGTGCTGCTGGTCATTCTAATGTCAAAGCAGTACTAAAGGAATCTATAGGTTCATTTTCTTCTGCTGCTGTAGAAGAGAGGATTATCTTTACCTCTGAAATTGCTCCCTCAATGCTTATTAACAAGAAATACAGCAAGTGAGAAGCTGCTAGGAAAGATTTTGTGTAATAGTAGCTCTGATCTCTAAAATGGAGTACAGTAATTAGACACTGAAATGTTTGCCTACTGTGACTGATATAAACAAGTCAACCATGGAATGGAGTGCCTGAAAAGAGGTTTTATTTCAAGTTAACTTCATCTCATGCCGTATATACATCATGTTTGTGTGCTTTCAGGTCAGGCAACTGATTCTGAAGAAAAAGATGTGGGTTTAGCCGCATGAACTCTTTTGAACTTCCTCCCACCTGCAGGGTCTTTGTATGTCAGGAGAAGCAAACAGCTTTAGTTTACTGGTATTTTTCTGCAATGTCTTAAGTAAAAGCCAGAAAGATAATACAGAATTCTTTTAAAGAGAAACATGCTGCACTCCAACTTATTGGGAAAAAATGCAAAAGATACACCTCTTGAAAAAAATAACACAATGTTTTGATTTTAGAGTAAGTAATTAATGAAGTATAAAATTGATAAAATACAGACTTTTTTTCCTGTGAGGTTGTGTAATGTCATTTCATCCTTCTGTATAAGCTTGGTTATTGCCCCCAGTATTTGAATATAAACCAAGGTCAGGTGCAAAAATTTGGGCTATATAGACTTGTTTAAATTTCCAGTGTGAGATTCAGCCTGGAATTTCAGGCTCAGTGCTGTGTGACTGTCAGTGGAATAGAAGTTCTTGGAGAAATGAAGTTCATACCATGAAGCTGTGTGTGCTGTGTGATCCCAAAGTGCTCCATACACTGCATCCCTCAGAAAGTGGCCAGAATGGGAATGTGACTTCCTAAACTGAAGAACCATCATCTTTAAACCAAAGACAAAGTGATATGAAAAGCTGAAGACCTGTGAATTTAATACCGTAATCTTTTCATCTGACAGGCAGTATAACTGCATTTCTAGAAGCTGATGCTCATGGGCATTAGTGTATTCCTGATATGTTATGATTCCTCTTAATCAATGTTGTGGAGGATCATTGTACCTTTTCTAAACAACAGAGTGTGCTTTAGGTGTAACATTCTCAAATGAATTGACCCTGAAAATAGGATTGTATTTTAAAAAGGAGTTCTGCCAACTCTGCCCAGATGTGTTGAATTTAGTAAATGCTACAGATAATGTACTAAAAGCCCTGGCACTGGCAGGGAGATGTCTGTGAGCTCCCACTGAGCCTTTCTCTGCCTCCCACCCCCAAAGCTTTAGATAAATAGTGGAGTGTGTGCATTCCCAGGAGCTGCTGGTCTCACTGGCTGGGGTTATCAGCAGCCTGAGAGGAGACTTTCGGGGGTGTCCTTAAATTCTGATAGTTTAATGAATCTAGATTTGTTCTTCTAAGGTCTGAGCAGCCTCTATCACCATGATTTAATTATTGGAACAGTCTCTTTTCACAGGACACAACTGTGATGTGTGTAATGGCAGTGGAGGGAAATGCAGGCAGGACCTGCCCCTGGGCTCCCCAGTGACTGGGCTGGGAGGGAGGGGTTGTGTTCCCTGCCTTCTTTACACTGCACAAGGCCAGGAAAGGCTCAAAAAGGCATTATTGAAGTCTGTGAGGAAATACAGCTGCAACAGGAGGAATTTGCTGCTTAAGCCAGTTTCTTTTTCAGAGTTTCTGTTGCTATAGCCACATTATTCCTAGTAGTAACTGCTGGAAAGGATGGAAGTGGAAAAAAAATTGGCCTGTTCCTTGTGCAACAGGTGCAGTGTTCATTTGTGAGCATGGACTGAGCTGAATCTCCTTCCCCTGCCCAGAGAGTGGCTCAGGCAGCCCAGGCAGCAACTACCCCAGGAATCTGGGATGTCTGCATCTTATATCTCCTGGGAAGATGCCAAGCAGAATTTAATTGCTTGTGGTGAAATCTTTCTCTGTGGCAAGATAGGACATTGAATGCTTTTGAACTTCTAGATTGCTGTGGGACAGCCTGATCCAGCCTGGTTGTGTTTAATGTACAGACAGATAATGAAAGATCCTTCTCCATCCCACTGAGTTCTTTGATGCACTTCTTTGTTTTATGTATCCCAGGCTGACTTGAGGGAGAGGAAGGGAGTTCTTGTAATAACATACACGTTGGTTTTTCTGTTTAGTAAATTGACAGGTGTTTGGTTTTTCTCGTGTCTGCCCAGGAAACCACGTGTTGTCTCCTGGAGAGGCCGTTGGAAAAGGTCTAACGCCAGAAGCTGCCAAAGATCTGGGTCTCCCCGAAGGGATTGCGGTGGCAGCATCTCTCATTGATGCACATGCTGGAGGACTAGGTACTCACTCGTGTGTTTACTGTTCTTGGAGATGGAAATGTATTGAATTAACCTTAGAAAGCTGTTTTTCTCACAGCCTGTTTTTATCTAACTGTTTAAACTATTTAACTATTTATTCAGTTGTTTAAAAAAATAATTAAAAATGCATCCCAATAAGTGCTAATATTGTATGTCTGTTTATAGAAGGGAGCTATCACCGTTATTTGTCTTTTCAGCTGAATTTCCAAGTTAACTTCTGCTAGTTCCATGTTGAATTCCAGAGCCTAATTACCATTCTGTTGCAACTCCAGCATGCTGGGAGTTTACATCTTGTGTTGCTCAAAACTTTGAGGATAGGCAAGAAAAATAAAAAAAGTAACATTGTGAGGGAGAAGCCTCATGTCTGAAGCTTGTTCATAGTTGTTTTCCTTCTTAGTTTTAGAAGTAATTCATGCTTCAAGGCTTTAAGGCCTGATGCTTAGACTTTGTTGCTTTTCCAGCATCATATTCTGATGTGCCCAGTTTCAACTGTGTTGAAATGTATTTGGTAGGTTCAGTGGCTTCATTTTCTTACTATGTTGTTTGGCCTTATCTTAATGAACTCAGTAACAAAGAGATTCAGTGTAACTTTTTCAGCGGGAAATTGAGGTTATTTAGTTTGATAGTTCAGAAAAAAATAGTTCCTTCACCTCAGGAAGTTACAGTGTTCTTAAAACAGTATTTTTCAATGGGAATCTGTTGCTCATCAGAGGATTTTTCTCTAGGCTGAACTGAAATATGATTTTCTGCTAAAATACCACTTTTGTTTCAGATATTTTGTGCTGTTTTAAGTCTCTTTTGTTATTCTAGAAGCTGTAGTCTGCAACTTTTAAAATTTTAAAAAATGCTTTACTTTGCTTCTGATCACTGTTTCTGATGAGGTTTAGTAATCATGTAGATTGCTTTCCTTACCACCTCAGAGGGATCAGACATAGATCGGTCTGCAAAAAAGAGGACTGATCTTTATGTCATAGTTGTAGGTGTGTTGTGCCCTGACTGTTGTGACTGACTTAAAAATCTTTTTGTGTCAATTATTATCCCAAATGCATAAAAATGTGTTTAACTATGTGCCTTGGTAGTTCTATGTTCTTGGAAAAGGATTTCATAATAAACTGACCTGAAATAATGAACTTGCTGCAAAACTGGGTTGTCACAGAGCACATGAAAATGTGGCAGTGGAGGGACCTTGTTTACTTGGCATCATGATGTGAGTACTGGATCCAGAGCACAGGAAGTTTCATGTGTTGACATCAGTTAATTGAATTTAAAGAAGAATAGAGAGCAAGTGTCTGTTCCTTTTTTTATAAACCTCTGTAAAGAACCTCTGACATTAGAAATACAGAACTACTGACAGCCCTCAGAGAAGGGCTTCGGTGGACCGAGACAGTCTGCTTATGCTAGTGCTGTTTATCCAAATATGTTTTCCCAGATGGCACCACAAACAGGAGCAGATTACTGAAATGATTGCCAGGGGAAGGAAAACACCACGTCCAGGTTGTTGTTAGAGAGGGAGAGGGGAATCACAGAGGGAAGAGTCAGGAAGGCAGTGGGAGAACCCATGTGGTGATCACACTATAGCTCAGTGCAGTCTGGGCCAAGAGGAAGATTGAAGATGAAAGTCATCCTTCTTGAGTCTGGGAAGGATCATAAATAGGTAGGGAAGCTAGTAGAAAAAGCAGTAAAAATGAAAAGATTTTGGTAAAGGAAGTGACAACAGGAGAAAAAAAAGAACTGTAGAGTGCAAATGTATGTAGAGAATTGACAGTGTGGCTGCACATCCTAAATACTTAATATAAATCCTTCATCCATAGCTGTTGATAGCAAGAAATTTGAATATTTTTCAAGTCTAGTTTTACCTGCACTGGGAAGAATACAGAGCTGAAATTCCTGAAGGTAAAACAGGAAAGCAAAAAGGAGAAGAAAGATAATATAATGAGGAAATGAAACTGTTCTGGTTAAAAGACACTGAGGATGGCAATGCACTAAATCATATTAATCTTTTAATAATGATCAAAAGAGCCCAGAAGAAAAGAGAGAAGAGATATTTGAAACAGTGAAGTAAAATGTGAAAATATTAGAAATAAATGTCTCTTGTAGTTGATGTAAAACATTTGTTTAGGAAAGGCACTGATGTATATTTTAGTTCTTACCCTTCTGTGATCTGTATTGAAATACTGAGGTTTACAATATGGATATGACTTGTAGAGTAGTAGGCATCCAGTGGGTGTCATTCTTCTTATTCTTGAACACATTCTGCTGGTTGTTTTAAAAACAATTTGTAACAGCAGAGTAATTAAAAGGGCTCTTTGGTGTCCTTCTGTCTAAACCAGAATGACATGATGGACATCTTGTCTTCAGTTAATAATTTTTGATACAGTTCACATCTACTTTTGGCTGGATATAAAGTGCAGTTTTGCTGGGCAGCTTCCTGAAGTTTATGAAGGCTTCAAAGTTTTGAGTAGAATAAGGGAGAGATAAAGAATTATTTAGTATTTGTGTTTGTGGAGGTCATGTGTGACTCCTGCATTGGTCCATCTGATACCTATTATGGCAAAGTAAAAATCCAAGAGCTGAGTAGTTCTGTCTTACATTTTGACGTGCTGTGCCAATTTAAAAGTGTACAGATAAAAATGCGAGTCTGGGAGACCAGGCTTTGGGACTGGCCTTATGAAAGTACTGTTTGCATTGTACCTTTTCAAAAGACATCAGCATTGTTTCAGCACAATTTATGATATAATATCTAAAATACCTTGTCACTGTGAAGGAGATCCAGAAGTGCACATGCTAAACATTGCCTGCTTTCCTAAAATTCTCACTTATGTTTTGTGGGGGGTACAGAGTTCTCGTTCTTAGTGTCTCTTATGAGACTCCAAAAGATGATGAGTCTCCCTTGGACTATGAAAAATTCCAACTAAGTTAGAGGTGAAAGTGACTTATAACAGCAATCATATTATTTTTAGCTAATTAAAAATATCAAAGCTTTCATTGTTATGAGAATGTCCTGGACTTGTTTGCTCTCTGACTTCAATTAATCACAAATAGGAAGACTCTTGCAACTCTAAACGCTAGTAAAGCCACCCTCAAAAACTCCAAAAAGGCCCAGAATGCCTGTTTTGCAGAATGTATATTTTCTTAGTGATTAAAAAATATCTAAACACGGAGTCCTTAATTTTGTATTGTTTATGAAAATGCATTTATGACATATGTTAACAATTCAGTTTCACAGATTTGGTCCCTCTCAAGTGTGAACAAGATTTTTTAGCTGCTTTAGAAATTCTAATACAGTGTTGTTTAGTACAGGAAATTGCTTTGTAGACAACTCTATCCAAAATTCCTAATATGAAGTCATACATATCACATTGGAGCAGTGGAAAAAAAAGAGCATATGAGGTAGAAGCCTTAGTTTTGGCTTTCTCTTGTTCCTGCTCTCTGCATGACAGCTGGGCTGCCACATAATTAAAGGATAAAGGGGCATAAGGACAGATAATGATTCCTGTGATTATTGAAGACTGTAAAATTTTAGCCCCTTAATTTTCTGATTATTTAGAGGGCTTCCAACCATGATAACACCAGGATAACCATGGCACTCACAGTAAGACAAACCCCAGCAGACTGATTTGATAACAGAATGTTGCAGTGGTGACCTAAACAAGAAGGTGCTAATGAAATGCGGGATATGAATCAGCCACAGCTCTTGGCATCCTTCACAGTGTCCAGCAAGTGCTTTCATGGTCCTTCTACAGTGAGGGGAAAGGGTTTTTTTGGCAGCATCAGCAAACTGGGATCCAGACTGAGCAGTGCAGATGCAGATGCGGATGCAATGAACAGTCTGGTGACCAGTTTGCCAATTGAAAAGTGATATTCAAGAGGAAAAAAAGACAACTAAGGTAATGTCACTTGTTGGGCTGCTGCATTTTGCTGGGCACAGCTCAACGTGGTGCAAGAATGCAGCCTGGGAGAGGAGGAGGAGAGGGCAGGATTCCCACTGTAACCTCCCATGGAGTGAATCAAGCAGGATGTGATGTGTTCTGAGGCTTGGCTGTAGCTTTGCCTGGCACCTCTCTGGCATCTCCTGGGTATATTTTCTGCTGTAGCCTGAGTGTTGCTGAGTTTGTCCTCTGTCCTGTCCTGTCCTGCACGCAGAGGCTCCTCAGAGCCAAGCTCAGTTCCTCTGAGGGAAGCAATAATCTCCCTTCAGATGGTTCTGACACAGACAGAAGAGCAGCAGCAGTGAAGACAACAAAGCTGGCAGCCTTCCAGTCTCCTGCCAAGTTACCCCTTTCTCCAACTCATCCCCTGACAAAACACATCATCTGGGATGTGTATGATAAACTGTGAACAAATAAACACATCTGCAGCCTGCCATTACAGCAGGGCACTCTTTACTTCGCATGTCAGCTGCTACCTAAGAGAATAAAGTCAGGTTACAGGCAAAATAACACTGAAAAATCATGATGATAACTGTGAATGTAGAGGAAATGATCTTGTGTCTGGAATAAAAATTTTAATCTGATGGGTAAAATACTTTTCTTCAATGACTAAGTAGACTTTCTTGATTTGTGGCAGTTGTGTCAGATTATTTAGCAATCATTTGTGTGCAGAAGAGCTCTGTTTGGTGAGAGGTGGCTTGTTCTTCTTTAAAAGAGAACTTTAATTTTATTTTAATAGGAGTAATTGGAGCAGATGTGAAAGGACATAACCTGCCATGTGAGAACCAGCCGATTACATCCCGAGTTGCAATGATCTGTGGAACATCTTCGTGCCACATGGGGGTAGGTTTTTTGTCCTGATTTGTACAGAATATACTAACTTATGTTTCTGAAGGGAAGAGTGACCTTTGTCCTTCTCACCCAATTCCTTTCCCTTGAATTTTTTTCTGGTAACTCTATCTTTTCCTTCAGATATTAATTATAAATTACCGTGCATTTGCTATTAGGCCAGAACTTTAATAGTGGTAGAAATCAATACTGAAAAATGACATGGAAAGTAAAAACCACGATGCCAGAGTGGCTTAAAGAGCAGCCTGAAATCTGAGCCAAAGACTCTGAGCCTGAGTTATCTGTGACAAGCCTGTCACTAATGTGTTGCAGAATAGTGGCTTTGGAGAAGGAGTGCACGTCTTCAGTCACAGCCCTTCTCCCCCACCTCTTGCCTGAATCAATATAAATCCTTCTTCCTCTGAAAATTGCCATGATGTATAGAATTATGATACTTATCATGACTAAAAAGAAAGAAAACCCCCAATAAGCAATTTTCACGTTGCTAATTTTTCTCAGTGAATTAATACAAAAGCTTTCTCTGAGATTGCAATTAAAATTTAGTGTCTGCTTTTGAAATTTATACCGTTTTAAAATGTATGAGTCTGAGAGCATTCCATTTAGATAAGTACCCTTTTCTGCCCCATTTTTTATTTAAAACTCATTTTGGTCTTAAATTTAGACTGACTATAACTTGGATTTTTCCAAAAGGAGCAAATGGCACGGGGAGTGCTAGAGGTGTTAGAGAGGACTAACATGCTTCATGGAGAAAGCTGCAGGAGAGGAAAAGAAAGGAGGCTGATAATAAAACATCAGGCGTAACAGTAAGTTAAGTTGTCTCTGTAGTAACAGCGTGAATCCATGGTGATCTTGAGCGTGAATAAAGGGTGATCTCGTCACATGGATTGTCGTTCTGCAAAGCATTTTAGCACATGATTGAATTTAAAGACATGAATAATCCCACTATTGTGAAGCAGAGCATTGAACAAGGGCTTAAATCCTGTAGACAAACTGGAATATATTTGGGGTCCTTCCTAAACAAAAGTTTCAAGCCTCAAACTCCATTGCTCTTGGCTTGCTCTGTCTCTGAAAAATTCCACTGGTACCTCTGTTTGTGTCACAGGGCAGGTGGGACACCTACAGGTACCAGCCCTGGGGAAAGGACTCACCCTTTGAGCCTGCCACTACTTTCATTATTTCCAGGTTTTTGGTGGAGGTTTCTGCCCTTTCAGTAGAAGCTGTTTGAGTGAACTCTTCCTAACCTGTTTCATTTAGCTGAGTTAGTTTAAATTGTTAAAGTGAGCTGAGTTAATAGAGACATAATACTGGACTGAAATGAGCTGAGGAGCTCGCAGACAGGTTCCCCCAAAGGTCTAAGGGCAGTGTTGAGTAGCTGGCAATGGGCCACCTGGCTCCAGCTTATTCCTTTAGTACAACCAACCCTGTAGGAGCACATGTGTGTGGTTATTTATTAATTTTCAGTATTTGTACATTAGTAAGTTCCAACTAGACCCAGTTCACAAGTATAGATTGTTTTGCTTCCCAGACTAGAGCGTGGCACATCAGCATTGACACTTTCCCAGCACTTTTTGCGTGCATACTCCACAACCATGGGAGATGTGGCTCCATTAAAAATGCTCATGGAACAAAAGGGACTTGAGAAAGTCCATGTCAATGTTCTGTCATTAAAGCAACCCCAAAGTCGAACACAGACTGCACAAGGTAGAACCTTTTAAGGCTCTTAATCACTTCAATGCAAACACGGGAGTAGATGCTTGTGCAGTTTTTGGCTAGATTTAAGTGGATTTTTATTTGAATGTAACTACTCAGCATTTTATAATCATTTCCTTAACTGCCTTCCTTCGCTCATCTGCACAGAGGTATAACAATCTGTAGCCAGCAGACAATAAGTAAGTTCTAAACTTCTCTGGATTCAATCTGTGAAAGGACTTTGGTTTACTGTTCTTTTATCTGTTACCTGCACAGGCTGCATGAAGTGAACGTACAGCACACAGGGCAGTTGTATTTGTGTTTTAATGAGACCTATATGCAGCTGCATTTGGCTGAAATTAGCTGTTCCTTTTTTTAATTAGGGCTATAAAATGAAAGTATATTATACTTGTGTTTTGATAGAAATATATATTTTCTCTCTCTGTGTGCACCAGGGGACCCTCAGGGGCTACAGAGATTAATCATCGAGTTTAATTTAATGCAGTGGGAGAGAGACCTGTGTGGTCAGGCGGGCACTAAAAAGTGCCTTTGATGTGCCTCAGGTGCACTGAGCCCCAGTGAACCAGCAACAATAATACCTTTGTGAGATGATCAGAGAGGAGAGAGGGAGAAAATGGCCTGTGTGGAAACTCAAGGCCGTCCTTTGTTGTGGTTCTGGCAAACGAAGGAGCCAACTGTCAGGAGAAATTCAGCAAACAGAAAGCAGGGAGAAAGTACGGCTGGATTTCTTTCAGGGACCGTAACAGGAAACTGTTCAAAATCATCTGCTATGCCTTTCTTTTCACCCCCTTCCTCCTTTTTTGTTGAGGGCAGTGGTACTACTGTTGGTGTGTGTGTGTTGGTACAGTAGTTCCATTCTCTACACCAAATACTCTGTGAGTCACAGGAGCAGGTATTGCTTGAACAGAGCATTGACTTTAAACTTTGAGAGAAACTGCTCCTTGACCCAGTTTTCATTACCTCCAGGACTCTGGAGATCTTAAACAAAAGACTTTACTAATCGTGCCTTTGATATTTTAGAGAGTACAAATGTGGAACCTAATTTTACTCATGGCTATAATAGCCTGATTTGTGGTAGAACTGCCATTTTTAAGTGAGGATACCCTTTTGGAATTAACCACTGACAGTTTGGGGTAATCACACACACACAAAGAACTTCATGTCTCTTTGAGATATTAGAATAGCTCATGAAAGCATCAGAATGCATGTTGTAATTAGGTTATTGATCCCAGTCCAGGTCTGAGTTGTTAGTTTCTCAAAGTCACTGCCACCTCAGGGCTCATCCATTATCCATGAGGAGAAAGAAATGAAAAGATGGTCTTCTGAATATTTTTGGACAGTTATTCATTTTACATGATTCTCTGCTGCCTCCCTTGCCCTAGCAAAAGTCATGGACAGAATTTGCATGTGGAATGGCACATAAGCTGTCCTTGCACGTGTGAAGGATTGTCCCTTGGTTTAGGGCTGGGACTCATCCCTGCAGGTTTGATCCGTGGGTGTTCCTTTCCAGTGGTGGATACTCACAGATGACTTTTCTGAGTGGGCTGCTTCCATCGTGTTTTGCAGACGGGGTCTCTGGGCTCCAGCACCCACACTTAGCTTTGGAACTTTTTAGGAGACTTTCCCTGTGTAGCCATGGTGACTGCACAAAATGTGTGTGTAGTTTCTCCCAGCAAAATAGCAGCAGGTTTGAGGCCCTGAAATAGGAGCTCTCGTGTCACTCCTAACTCATAGTTTGCAAGGGTCTAACAGACATGCCCTGACTTCTGGGAATAAGGTAATTGGTTTCCCTAAAAGCCTGCCTTGTTGCCAGTGTCCTAGGGCTTTATGGGATATTTAAATGTTTCAAATTTTTTTTTTTTTTTCTGAAACCTTGATGTGATCAGGAGGATTTCAGGCTCAGATATCTGTATTCCCATGTCCCAGCCCCAAAGAGAGGCGTGTTTGCCCTTTTGCAGATGTGTAAGACCACCAAGAATTGAGTTAACTCTCAGATGCAAGTTAGCAAAAGCTGAAAAGTAACAGGGACAAGCAGTGTGACAGGGGACTTGGACACAGAAATTTTCCAGTATTCCTTGCAACAAGTAATCTGGCAGTACTGCTGCCTCTGTCAGGTTTTAAACCAAAACAGGGTTGATTTAGACTAGATCTTAGGAAGAAAGTTTTTACAGTGAGAGTGGTGGGACACTGGCACAGGTTGCCCAGAGCAGCTGTGGCTGCGCCATCCCTGGAAGTGTCCAAGGCCAGGTTGGACAGGGCTAGTGGGATAACCTGGGATAGTGGAAGGTGTCCCTGCCCACGGTGGGGGGTTGGAATGAGATTGCTCTTCAAAGATCCCTTCCAACCCAGACTGGGACCTTCACGCAGGACAAGGAGAATGTGCACACAGAGCTGCAGGATCTTCTTTTGCACCACCCTATCTTCTCTTTTGTTTATATTTTGTGGTGAATCTCAGTTAGAGATCAGTGTTCTGCTTTGCACTTGTCCCAGAACAGTTGTACCATCATGAAATTATTTGTTGTTCTTACTCGAAAACTTTTTGTGATTCACAGCTGAAGGAATTAGCCAGAGCATCTTCCAATGGGTACATTATCTGGCCTATTTTCAGCTTACTGAGTTGGGGAGGGTGGGTTCTGAATTTTATGGTATTTTGAGTCTCAAATACAGAAGGTTTGTGTTATTTCTTATCCAGAGTCTCTGATATTTTTTTCTATCTTCATCTGGGGATGTGGTCTGTGTTCTTCTTCAGTCATTCCTTTTTTATCAGCTCTCAATACTTCTTTGGGGGGATTATCAGGGAACCATTTCAAGTTTAGATGTAGTCTCTTTTGCATTTGTTTTTGTTACTTCTGGAACTCTTGGCATTGGGAATGGACTCACCTGGCTTGATGCACAGTTCTTTTTTCCCCAGGCAATATTGTATATGTGGTTTGAAGTGTATAATGTAGTCATTTTTTAAATTGAAGAGGGACAAGCAATTTATCTTCTATCTTTTCAGATTTACTGTATGTTCTAAAAGACAGAGCAACTACACAAACAGCAAAATGGGCAGATCATTTTGCTGTCCAAGTGTTTACTATTTATAATTTCAGGAAGAATATCCCATACTCTATTTCACTAAGCCTAACCAGCCTTTGAGTGCTTTCTGCTAAAGGAATTTCAGCCCACTTTGCTTATTCTAAATTTGTTCATTTGATTCTCGTGATGACTGGCAAACACAATAGAGCTTCTTTGCTCCACAATATCCGCCCGAGCTGCCAGCTTTGTTCACACAAACAGAGTGT